GTAATACCAGCTACAAATCAACTCTGTTTAAGTTTTATGTTTTAAAAATAAGCTCTATCATTTCTGTAAGAATAACTGCTTCTAAATTTTTTGGAAATATCTGCAATTAAAGTGTTTTTTTCATATTAAATCCACAGTTATTTTCGAATCCTTTAAAATTACTCCTAATCTAAAATGCCTAGTTTTCGACGTCACAGACTAAATTTTCATACTCTCAACTTTGTTACAGTTCAAGTCTTTGTAGTAAGTGAAAATGGTAACCAAGCCATGTGGGTTTCCTGGAAATGTGCGGGATCTGAGAATTGTCCCTTTCGACGTCAAATCCCTCGTAGCCGGAACAAAATGTGATTGGTACCTAACATTTTATAGTCTCTTCTATTTCCTTTTGTTAAAAAGGTTGTCGATTATATGCTTATTTCATATCAAACCCACAATATCCTCTAATTTTTTTGAGCAGTGAATTGACTGCAAGATGTTACTCCACAGTAGAAAAGAAACGGAACCAAAAACTCCATTACAGATCTATGGATAGAATGTTTTTCCAAACCTAAGAGTCGCACTTCAAATACTCCTTACTATTTCATTATCAAATGCTAGCGATGAACGTTCATTCAACAAATTAAAATAAATTTTGACATATTTACAATCAAAGATGGGACAAGATCCCCTAAGTCATATATCATTTTTAAAAGTGTAGAAATAGAAAAATTTGAAAGGATCGACTTTGATGAAGTAATTAATAAATTTGCTTCATAAAGCAAGAAAAGTGTATACATAGTAATTAATTGTATTAATGTATTACAATATTGTTTTATTATTAATAAATATATCTACTTATCTATAATATATACAGTCAAAAGTCGTTAATCCAGACTCGTCGGGACTTCGGCGATTCCGGATTATCGATTTTTCCGGATTATAGATCATCAGTTTAAATCTCGTAAGATGGCATGCAGAAATTCTAAAATTAAAAATATGAAACCGTAATTTATGAAATAAAGAACAATTATGATCTAAAGGGTATCAAAATTTGCAAAAAGAAAAAAGCTTAATATTTATTTGTTTACTTTATTAAACATTTCTTTCAATGTAAGTTGTTTAAGTTTTGCTTCGTTTCATGTGATAATACTTTCTCTTTAATTCTATTAAACAGACATAATTTCTTGTTCAGTTACAAAGTTCCGCTGTTCAAGTCCTATAATTGCTGTGTCGAGAAACCGACTAATTTGTCAATCGAAATTTTTTTCGTTTTCAATAACCTTTGTCACTTTTCTTCGCTATCGGAAGCGAATTATAATGACGAGGAATTGTTTTTTAAATCATATCAAAGACGGAGCACATCGAGATGAAATACTACATTTAGTAAGGAATTATAAGCCAAATAAAATAAAAACATCTGCCCTGAAGATAAGGAGAGTGCTGAAGGATCAACTTCCAATTCATTACGCGCCCGCCGCGGCGTTCCCCCCGCCGAGCAGCGTGAAATTGATAAACAGATTTTGGATTTCAAAACATACTTTCGCTTTAGATCCTTTACATATTAACAAATATATATCGGAAATTCTATTTGATATAATCGAAAGTTTAAGCTTACTTCTATAAAATTGCTCTTACAGTCTGCAAAAAATAATAAGCCAGATCCAATTCGGAAATTAAGGAACAACGCAATCATCAACATTAACTGAAATAGATAATTATTTAGCTTATACGTCCATTATACATAAAACGCGCACGCGAAAACGTATTCTGCACTTGCGCACACTCATATGCGCAGTCATAAAAGGTCTTACGCGCACGCGTAAACGCCTATGCGCATGTGTCAACGCGGCGCATGCGCAGAAAGTTTTTAATTTTGAGGTCCGGATTATAGATCATTCCGAATTATGGGTGTCCGAATTAACGACTTTTGACTGTATTAAACTTTTAATTGTTTAAAAATTGTACTTTTTTAAAAACAATTACAAAAATATGTAAAATAAATAATACTTTTTTAACTAATTCCAGATCATCGTATGTCTGATTTTTCCGCCGACACAGATACATTTCCAAATCCAATGCTAGTGTAGTTAGGCAGTGACTATTCTTAATATATTTTAGAGTATTTTATGGCAGATTCAGCATTTTATTATTCTCTGCATTATTTTCTTATTATGAATATATTCTATACATTATATTACCGTGTTTTTTTGGGGGGGGGCGCCAGTTATGCTCGCTACGCCACTGTATGGCATTTGACCTTCATCTACTGACATTAATTTCTGTTCTGTACTTCTGGTTTTGATAGATTTATTGGTATAAACAAACTGGGAATCAAGGCTATTTATAAGTGTGCCTAAGAATTAAAGGAGCACAGGCGTTATTGTTTATTTCATTAGGTTTGGGTAGAATGGAAAATTTTGGTGCACTTTGTGAATATAATTTTTGGCTGTTTGGAATGTGGTAACAGGTAGTTTGGCGACATTTTGGAGGTTACTACCTAGGACTTTGGGAATAATGTGAGAAGTACTCAGTTCCGATTACGCATTATTTTGTGTGAGGGAAATGAGAGATCATGAGATATGTCATGTGACATTAATGGACGAATCACTGTTCTTTAATCGGAAAAGGGGGTAAATTTGTAAAAATATCTGCTGTACTTTATAGCATTAGTTTCATTCTATGTTCTGTGAAACAGTGTTGTTTAATATTTGGATCCCATGGCCCTATATAAAGTAAATCCGAAATTTTTATTGCGTTTATGTGTAATTGAAAAGAATTGCTTAATTGCGGATAAGTATGAATGTCCAACATGTGGGAATGAAATGAGATTGTGTGAAAGGAAGAATATTACAGATAAGTTTGAATGGCGGTGCAAGAAATCTGGTGAAAATGGACATTTTGTGATCCGCCATGCACTCAAGATTCTGTAGAAGATTAGGTAAGTTAGTATTTTTAATTATTTGAGGATATTATTTTTATGCATTGTTCTAAATGTAAGGAGTAAATAAATTAATATGGTATTATTGGAAAATTGTTATTAGCAATGATTTAGTTTAAAGTAATTAGGATTGTAAGCTAATTTTTATTAATTTAATGTATGTGCTTATTTATATTTTAAGTAGTGTTTTTTAATTTAATTATATTTTAATTTAATGATCGTGATTTTGAGAGTTATATGTTTGTAGTATTTTGGAATACGTTTGAGTAGAAGTAAATGTGCATGGAAAGAATTTAAGTATTTGACACTAAGTATTTGGAACCATTTTTAATGTTTGCGTTATAAATTGGCAGGTGAGGTTTTATAATAGATAATTTAGAGGGAAAAGTTTTTGGATATTTTATTTATTTTATACGTGCAAATGTTCATCCTTGGAAAGGGTATATACTTTTTCACGATCAGGTAATTTCATATATGTCCTTTTTACCAAATTTAAAGATTCACAAAATTTTCATGCATTTTCGTGAAATTTTTCTAATTTATGAGAAAAAAGCAGTGTACATGGATATAGTGAAGAGTGTGCGCAATGCCATTTTTGTGCAATTTGGGATTTTTTTTAAGTAAAAATAAGTCGACGTGTACATGGTTACTGTGTATGTGCGATTTTGAAAAACGTGGCAAGGAGTTTGCGATTCTGTACTTTTCCCCAATTTTGCAGTTAATATTTGTCATGATTAAGCAGTTTTGTTCATAAAATTTCTAGCATAAGTGTAATTCGGCTAGTAGATTGTTGGAAAAAGTGTTGAGTAAATAAAAAGAAAAGAAACATGTCTTTACTTCGTGAAGACAAAATGGCGGTAAAAAAAAAAAAAAAACAGAGGGTTGCTGTAGCAGAGTTGGTGGCCAAATTTTCGCCAAGTTACCATAATCCAAAGATCAACCGTCCTTTTTTCCATTTACTTTGAAACTTAACATAAGCTTTCTTGGTTAATTAAAAAGTAACATTACAACATTATTACAGAAGAGGAAAGCCCATCAGCTTTCTCGACGTTTAATGCATCTTACTCGCTTGCCATTTCTTAGGAAAGAGGCATCGTTTTTTTCTTACTTAATTTAAATAGCTCATTATATATAATGTCTTGAATGGTCATTATATATAATGGCCCAGGCATTATATTTTGGTATATAATGTATTTACTTTACATATAATGTAATTACATATAATATATATATTGACATGATCAGTAATGGATATACCACCAATGGGGTTTTTCCTTGATCACTTTCCAATCATTATGGTGGACACAGTTTTTCAGTTTAGAAAAACAGGAAGTTTTCTTATATAAACCTGATGTCACACAAAGGTGAAATATTTCTGGGCATCTTTTAAAGAAGTTTTGAAACATGTGTTGGGGTTCATTCCATTAGCCATGGCTAAAAAACCTTACTTAAAAATTTGTCGAAAATCACCGGACGCTCCACATTTCCATCTCAGTGGAAGACATTTTCCAAAAATTTACATTGACAGATAAGGTAATAAAGGTAGGAACAGTTGTGTTGTGTGCACTATAAACAAGGAAAAGCGAAAACAAACAACGTATTTTGAGGGAAAAATATGCAATGCAGGACTATTTGTCGATCCTTGTTTTGAATTATTACACAAACAACAGAACTTTTAAATTGGAATTTAATTACCTACAGCTAATTCTTGCTTAGTTTTATTTATTTTTTTTAAATTTAAATTTCGTATTTGTAATTTTGTTTATAGTACTTATTTCTGTGTGCATAGTTATGATTTTAGTATTTTGCCTGTTTAATTTATTTCTATTAATTTGATATTCTTTATATTAATACACATTAAAAATGTAACTTCAAAAATTGAAGTCATTATATCAAAATGCTGATTTTATAGGAATTTTTTTTTGTAAAATTAGGCTTAATTCCTGAAAATGCGCAGGTCAGTGGCAACAATCCATTTCAGTGGGTCCAGTCCTGTGACTGTGCTTCGTTCTCCGTGCACTGGTCCTTAAGATGTTAATAACACATGTATTTTTTAAATATAATTCATAACAAACTCACTCACCTATTCCTTCACCAAGGCCAAGGAGTATTCTGCATATGATAAGTAATGTCAGTGATGATGCAATAAAAGGAGTAATAACAGTAGAGACTGACCACAGAAATACGGCAAATGTCATTACTGTTTTACCACCAAATCTGGATGCAGCATTGGCTCCAATGATCTGCAAGATTAATAATTTCAGACTAAAAGTTATAATATTACAAAAAACTAAAACATGCAACATATTTTGCTATATCTAAAGCAAAAGACCACACTTTAGAGCTAGAATGTATTTAAATACTATGTATCTGCTGATGATTCATAAAAGAGATGTTTATAATATTTCTGAAGAACACAATAAACAAACTAATATTTTCAGATACAATTCACAAAATCACTGATTGGCTTAACTCATTCATTATGAATTTCTCAGAATGTCCCAGTTTGTTCTGTGATAACTGAATACAGTAATTTTTCAAATAGTTTATTTTTTGTGTAACAAAGAATGGAAGTATAATGGAACCTTGAATCACAGGTGCCTCTCAGTTTGAATTATTCAGTTTGTGAACATTTCACTATTATCATAAATCTGAGTTTACCAATGTCTAGTTAGTCTTCAATGTATTACAAACTATTACTAAAATTTATATTTTGTTTTTGTATTTGTTTCAAATACGCAAAGATCACTCATTAGTGGTACATATTTTGGAATGGGAAGGACGATTGAAATTGGTCATTTTGCCTTAATTTCAGTTTTATAACTCAGATCATTAATTTAAGTTTCTAGGTATTACATATCCTTCTAAATTTAATATTTCATTTTAAAATTTGTCACTCTTCTTCAAATTACTTCCAAGCAGTTAGCTCTTGAGTGGTTTGCCGTAAGTGACAAAAGAAACAGAAATATTCACTTGATAATGTTAACTTTATATCTTTTACACTACAATAACTTTTTTAACTGATCACATAAAACGCTATAGATAATTCAATGACAATGTCAAATTTTCCAGTATTAATCACAGCTGAAATAAAAACTAAAGAAGAAAAGGACATTTAGAAAGCACTATTTTGTGGTCTCTACCCGCCTAACACATGATTATTTGATAACTGAATGTTATTTCCATATCCTACAAAACATAAGTAAAATTCAGTTTAAATATTTATAAAATCTAGAAGTATTTACAGAAGACAGGAAATTTAATATGGGACTCTGTAAAAGAATGCAGCATTCTTTTTTGTCTGAATACAACTTCTCCACTTCATTGTGCAATAAGAAACTATTCAAAAAACCTCAGATCATGAAATTACTTTTGCAATTAAATTCATTGTTAGCTGCATACTCTGAAGGTATGCAAATCCTGCCTGAAATGAAATATAGTTTATTTATTTTAATGTTTTTAGGGCACTGTATTTGATTATGAGAAGAAGAATGAATGTATATAATGCATTTTCCTTCGACAATAGATGAATAAACATGCAGAATTTGAGCTTTAAATCACCAAAATAGGCTTTATTAACTGATGCATTTAATTAGAATACACAGCAATACAGTGCAGTTTTCATATGTTAAAAAACTGTATGACAGTTAAAAAATAAGAGTTTACGAAAATTACATAATAATACAGTAAAGAGAAAAGTTGGGAAATCACTGCATAATTAATTTTTAGTTCAAAATTACAGTTTACAGAAGAAATTATATATATAAAGGTCTTTATAACAGTTTTGGACACAGTAGTGTTCTGCTTTGAATACGTTGAAAACATGCTTATAACTATTGTTAAATGCAAACAGCAAATACCGATTCTGGGTATAGAATTCTAAAATTACTACGAATATATTCAGAATATTGAATAATTTTATACATTTATTATTCACCCACATTTCAAAATATATAAACTAACCTGACTAGTTATGTAACCAAATGCAAATGCGCTGAGAATCCATCCTTGCCAGTATAGACTCCAGTTGTAATGATCAGTCATAGGAATAATGGCAATAGGCATAACAATTCGGTCAGCGGCATTAATAAAATTTGCTACCGAACAGAGAGCAATAGTTTTCGAAGTTTTAGGAAGCATTATGAAATGTGTTAAGATTCATTTTGCGTAAGTCTGGCAATAAGAAACGACGACTTTTCTTCACCTCATTACTACTGTGTTAGAGAAATTGATAAAAATATGTTTGTTTTTAAAAACTTGTATAATATTTAATTAATGTTAAACATATATTTCACAGGTACAAAATATATGCAACCATATTTTAAAAAAAATATAAGTACTGTCAGCTTCACAACAAACTATGGTGACTTTTTAATAAATTTCGAAACATTAACATGAATACTTCACACAATTCAAACATCATTGATATGTAACACAGTTTAACAAACGGTTACGATGATTGATGGCTATACACATACGGTCAAGGTTACAGAAACTCTTTTAAAGATAGGAAAAATAAAAACCTTTGAGAAACAGAATTGCTTTGAAAATGGAAGTTGCAGGTCACGAAAAAATATCCTTTTCAGCCAAATAAAATTTTAAATCTATAACTGAATTCCCTAAATCCATTCTGTGCGCTTAAATGTCACGTTCACTAGATGGCGCTGTTGTTCCATCTTAGCAGTTCCAAATGTAAACATTTATGGAGTAGCTAGACGGCTAAACCAAGGCCAACTGGCCTTGGCTAAACTTACTAGCGGATGAAAAAATTTTTATGTTTTTAATGTGATGGATTGCGTTATTATCAACGTTATAATATTCTGCTCACTAATGATTGTATTTTATTCCTCAAATTATAAAATTAATTTACAGCTTTCATTCTGTAAGGCTTGTAGTACTTTTTATGAATGATTAATTTGAAGATATTTTTCAGTCCCTCCCCCCTTAGAAAAATAATCATATTACTAGTAATAATACTTGCTTGTGTATATGTTAAATTTAATTAGGATAGGTTCTTCACGTCTCTCATTTTTGTAAAATGCTTAGATACACAGCTTGATATAAACTGTGGCGAAATTTTAATGAAACTTATAGAATTTTTTGCTTCAATCAGTAAATTTTCTTTACTATCATATCATAATGAGTTATTCTTTTTTATGAATCAGATGTCAGTTTTGATTTTGATATTTTTATCGTTTTCTGTTAAAAATTTCCATATCTTTATTATTCGAGAAGTATGTTTCAAATTGATTTCACAAGATTTTAAAATAGAATTCGAATTTGAATTCAGTTAAGTATTCTGAACACTTGGTTATGCTGAACTATATATTAGTCATAATTAAACATAAAGAGTAAAAAATATTGAAACTAATTCAATCTATCTTTAATTTTGTCTTGCTTGAACTAACTTCTAACCAATAAATGCAGTATTTTAACTAAAAATATAATGCAGATCTTTTTTATTTTAAAAGTACATGTGCTCTTTTCCTCCAAAGGAGAAAAATTCTATCCCATTCAATAGCCTAAAAGATGAATTTCTTATGTTTAGAAAAAATTTATCACAGTTATAATGAGATGATATTTTCTCGCTGTTAAGTTTCAAATTGGTACATGTAGCTTTTTTGAAAAAAATATTGTGCATGTATTATCTTTTACTGGAAAAGATCCCCTATTTTTTATTTTCATTTATTGAACTGATTATTTACTAATAGAGTCTACTTACATTTGTTGCAAAACTACCAGTTTAATATCAGAATACCTAATGTGTGCTTGCTGCGGTATTTAAAAAATATCATTACGTATTGTAAAACTAAAGTCTGTTTTCTCTTGCAGTAATTATTTACTTTTTTATTCTCAATTTAATATCTCTTTTTCAACGATTAAAGACTCGCAGTGAAAGAAATAAGTCCAATTAAATAACAAAATTTTAATAAAAATGTAACAGTAATCATATAAATAATCCTGAAACAATCTTAACAGTATTGTTTTATATTGTTACACACTGGGGTGAGATATAGGAGGCTAGAGTGATTCGTTAAATTTGTGTTAAATTTACAAGCACCTTGTTCTTTCCCACCAGCAGTTGAGCAGCAAAAGTCACCAAACACTGCCAGTTTGGTCCTGGATTCGAATCCCGGCAACAGGCTAGCTGCATGGGTATTTTCCTGGTTTTTCCAGGTAAAATATATATACAAGCCAGTTTCCCTTAGAAATGAAGGTATCCTTACCCTTAGGCAGATAGCCCGCAAGTTGTTTGGTGTAATTACATAGAGCAAACTAAACCTTTTCTTTTTGTTTGTTTGTTTGTGGCTTAGAAAGTACTGCTGCTGAATGTGTACATGTCTATATAACTTTATAATAAGTTTGAATTCATATCGAAAACTATTTAAAAAACCTATTTAATTGCAATTTACTCTCAATTGAACTGTTGGGAAGGAAATATTTTCAATTTTTCAAGATTCATATCAGCATGCTGAAAACAATAGACATTTAAATAACGTGTCTTCAAGATCTTTAATTAACATATTATCGTAATTAAAATGTGGAGTATTAGCCAGATGTAGTATTCACCAGTAAAATATTGTCACCAGATGAAATCCCTTTTCTGTTTTTAGATGACTGTAATAATTCCAAGGACATAAATTTAATTTGACCTCATAAGATATTAAATTGACCCCTTTTCGAGGGGAGGAGGAAAAATTAATTATGTGCATAATACAAATTCCGGTATCATGGTGCCAGCCTCATATAAAATCAAGAAAATCACTATGGAGCTACGTCTGAAATACAAATTACATTTTAAATTGGAAGATTTATCACTTAGGTATCACCAAAACCATGCTGTCTACACAAAAACAAAATTTCTAACATTAGAACATAGAACCATTTATTTGAATATTCCATAATTCAATACAAAAATGTATCTATATAAACTCAGTCTTCACATAAGCAACTTTTTATGCAAAATACATGTAAGTGCATGATATAAATATGGTACGTAAAATTTTCTAATATACCGTATTGCAAGTACACAGTACAGAATTGTAAATGAAGTATTTCTATGATAAAGCAAAATGCAATTTTTGTACAGTCCCAGTTACACTTAATTAGATAAATCACATACAGGATGAAGAAACAATACAAACCATTATAATCCCATCATAACAGGAAATGTTGAAATCAAACATTATGCACTTATATATGTTAGGCACATTGTTGTTGAATCTCGAAATGATATTTAACGGTGATCAAACCTTAAACTATTGATTATGCTATATGTTAGGCACAATGTTGTTGAATCTCGAAATGATATTTAAGGGTGATCAAGTCTTAAACAAATGATTATGCTCACACAATCGAGAAATCAACAGAAGACACATAAGGATAAATTTCAAAACATATTAATTAAACATACTGCATAATTTGTAATAATGTTGTATCATAGTACAAAAAAGGAGTGAAAGAAAATTAAATAAGTCTATTGTCTATTTCTACGATCATATTGATGTCTTGTAGAGATATTAGGTATTTTTTGGAGGCCGGAGAGATGAAAACTTAGCAAACGCCTTCGTCGGGAATCGAACCACGGACCTCTGGAATACCGGCCCAGCGTGCTACCGTTACACCACGAAGGCACGCTAGGGAAGTGGGAGAAATACCTTATATACTCCCCTTTTTAAAGGGCGACTAGGATTTTAGGGGACCTAGTCGCCAAATCCTGGGTGCGGAGAATCATCATCCACAACCCCTTTTAGTTCGGGCGCCACTTGTAGAATCATTAGGTTAATTGGAAGCAGAAAAGATGAGAAATGTGCAACCGCCTTCGCCGGGAATCGAACCACGGATTCTGGAATACCGGCCCAGCGTGCTACCGTTACACCACGAAGGAACGCTAGGGAAGTGGGAGAAATACCTTATAGTATAACTTGAGAACGGGGAGATGAATGTTCAACCTAGTGGGAGAATCTTTTAGGAGCCAAACGATAGCAATTGATGGCTGAGAAAAATCATTGTCAAGTGCACAAATAACATAATTTACATCATTTACTTTAGAAGAAATAACAAAAAAGTTTCCGAAAACCTATTGCTGGAATGTAACCTTAGATTTCACATACACTATATCATTAACATTGAATGATATTAATATGCCACTTTTCATTTGACAAGTATTCAGTTCTATTTGCTTTATTCCAACATCTCATAGGCATGCTCATAACTTAGTTTTAGCTGTGTTGAAAGATCACACAAATAATGTGATTTATCCAACTGAATGACCTTGGATCAGGATTAAACAAATTGTTGGGTGCGTACGGGTTCGTTACGAAATGAATGCACAAGTCCGATGAAAAATGAACAAAAATTTATTATTATTACAACAAATATGCTTAAATTTCCTAAAATATTCGTGCAGTATTACAATATCTTACAATATTATAAAACTGCACGAATCTTTAACTACTCAAACGTTCAAGAGAACTTAATTCAAAACAGCTAAAGAAAGCTAATCCGCTACAGTCAACAAGAGCAGTTTTCTAAACAACAACAAACTAAGTAACTACCACGAACTGAGAGGTTTTCCTCCTTTTATAAGATTTTAAAATCGCGCGCGAGAATTTTTCTAATACTTTCTCGAAATCAAAAAGAGATATTTATTAAATGTTACATGCACGCGCTCTTGTATTTTCAATTTTTCGGCTTAGCTTTCTTTTAATATTCGTCACGCGCTGCACTGCGCGGGAAATAAAACCATTTAATTTACAATTCAACTAACATAAGCTATTTAAATACCAAATCTGTAACAATATTAAAAGGTAACGATAAATTTCTTCCAAAATGCAGAAATTTAGGAGAATAACCAGTTGAAGGATGAACAGTACCATTGTAAATATTTTGATGGATAAGCAATGCATTTTTAAATGGAATACCTTTTTTATGAAGTATAAGCAAAGAGCTCTTGATGCAGGCATTACCACATTCATTTGTGCATTATACTCAGGTCTCTGAGGAATATAGTGTGATAATTTAATATCCAAGAATTTGGTAATCGATTCAAACACCAGTCGAGGGTTATATGTGCCTAAATCAATTAAGATCACTTCTGGTCTTCCAGGTATATATATTGTAATAAATGTACTGTAAAAGTTTCAACACTGAGATTTTTGAGAGCTCATAAAACAAGATGTTTAGAAAAATGATCTAGAATAGTGAGATCATGTCTCTAATTTCGTACAGGACCACCAATATATATGGAATTAAAGTCATTTGGATATTTAAAAATTCTGATAGCTTTAAATGGAGTCTGTTTAAGAGTGAAAGATTTGTATTTGTTAAATAAATGATACGGGAGGACAAAATTATTTGTGTCATTATACATACCCTTCCAAAAAGAATCTTTCGATAAGATTTCATACGTTTCTGAACTCCAAGATGGGATATATGAGAAATTTCTC